GAGAGAGAGAGAGAGAGAGAGAAATCACGCAACGTGATACCAAGAGTTGATTAGGGGGAATGGACTTGTTCGCTAGACTATGGGAAGCTTAATACTTGGAGAAGTCTGTCTACTGTCGTGATAGGCATGTATCTTGGTCGTGACAGCAATGGCATTGACGGCCACACCATTCGAATAATCGGTTGCTCATTGCCTTGTTCTGTTCACACTACCAAATGGGAGAAAAGAAAAACGCAAGGCAAATAGATGAAATGTAAAGCCTGACCACGAGACCTACAGCGACAAGTGGATCAAGCAGAATATCTTCTCGAGTTGTTCATCACCCGCTGCCCCATTAATGGCTCATCATTTGCAAACGCCAACTTTCTGAATGTTCAACGGCTAAAACGGCGAGGCAACAACGTCCTCCTTGCCGAGCTTGTAACGTCCGCTTTCTCTTGTTCCAATGCGACCCGAACTGCGACGGGGTGTGCTCAACTGTGCGCCAAAACCAGCAATACTATCCCGCGTGGGTCGCTTCAACTGTTTCTTGGCCACCATGTTGACTTCATTTGGCAGAGCAACAATCACGTTCTGGTCCGTGCCAAACTTGAAATCGTCAGCCTTGACTTCGTCCGTGTATCGCTTGATTGTGTAAGGTGCCTTGGCTCCACGCAGGACCTTCTTAAGGTTCCAGTCAATGATGTAGGGGCCCGTGGCCGTGATAATCGAAGTCTCCTCGAGAGACTGGCCAACGTTGAAGCGTGCGGGTGTAAACGTGACGGGCTTGCCTGTCTCGTAGGCAAACTGGGCCACGTGCTCTGGTGTCAATGCGAGACGGCGCGGCTGAGGCTTCGAGTCTGCAGCAAATGATTTCTCAAAGCCAAGTCTGCCCTCGTTCTTGCCGCTCTTCTGTTTGGCATCAATCAGCAACAGGTAGGTACGACAAGTACCGAGGACCCAGCGGCCGTCAGCGGACACGTCAAGTCCGAGGATGGGCTCGCCAAGAGCTGGGATATGCGTCTTTGCGTTGATTCCGAGACGGTCAAAGAGACGAATGTCACCCTTGTTGGAGGCAACGGCAACATAGCCCTTCTCCGTGGTAGATATGGCGCTAAAGTCATTCTTGGAGGCATATTGCTTGAGCTGCGAGTCGACGAGCTTGTTGCCGGCGAGACGAGGGTCCACTCGGAATAGTGAGTTGTGGCTGATACCCAGAAATGTTGGTTCGTGTGTCATTTGGGCGAATTTGTTTTCGGGGGCAAACGTCACGACGGGCACATCATCATGAACATTCCACTCATCAACAACCTTGCCATACTCGAGATCCATGCGGTAGAGCTTGGTGGGATCCGCCTCATTCTGCAGAATCATATTCCGGTCCTCGTTGTGTAACATGGCTTTCTTGGGCGTGAACAGTGCACCCTTGGGCGTCTTGACCTCGGAAATGTTCGTAGAAAACTCGAGATGATTGTTTGGCGCATGCTTGAAAACGCCGATCTTGGATCCACGAACGACAAACGATCGGTCGTGCTTGTATCCTACAGATATGGACTTGTTTGTAGCCTTATCCTGTGGTTGTGTTTCCAGGTCATCGTGCTCCTCATCAGAATCGTAGTGTTCGCTCCGGATTCCGGGGTCTTCATCCTCCTCCTCCTCCTCCTCGTCCACGTCGGGCTCTTGCTCCTCCTCCTCCTCGGGCCCCTCTTCAGGCACATCCTCCATCTTGAGATCTTCAAAGGCATCGAGCACATACTGCCGTTCCTGATCTTTGACCTTTGTCCACTTGATTTCGTTCAGTTGCTCCCACAGTGCTCGCATGAGCCCCTCCTGGAACCGCTCCAATGTCTGCTGGTCTTTAAAACGGAGGAGCCAAGAGTAGGCAGAGCCATCCTCGGTGAACTGGTTGAAAATAAAGGAAAGGAACTCAAAGTTGAAAACCGGATTGATGTCGGCAATGACTGGGATGCCCAGCCATTCTTGATCCTTACTTGCGACCTGCAACCAATATTGCCAGTTTCCAACATCGGACACCTGTGCCGTGACCGAGGTATCCTTGAGAATGAAAGACCCCGAAGGAAAATCGAAGAAGTGTAGCTCCCCGAGCTCCATGGATAAGATCTCGAGGGGCTCTGGTTGGGTCGGGACAGGGGGAGGGGCCATCTCCCTTGCGGGCGCGCGCACCTCTCTCTCCTCTCTAGGCGGTTCGGGGGTATCTTGTTCAGGGTCCGTAGCGGCAGTCAAGGATTGCTGGGGAGGTGCCGCCTCGCGTTTGACGCCAGTGTTGGCGGCGGTCTTGGCGAAGAACATGTCGTCTGCCGATTCAAAGGTTCGGCCGATGGTTGGGCTTTGGATGGGGCTAGCCTGGGGGATGGGCTGCTCGTCCTCGAATTCAAACTGCTGCAGATCGCTCTCGGAAGCAGTGGTGTGGGGTTTCCGATACTTGCGTTCGTACTGACACTGCTTTGCTATGCGCTCAAAGGCCTCGATCTGCATGGACTGCACGCCGGAGTCGCAGACAAACTCGTACAGGTCGCCTACGTCGCCGCTCAGATCCTTCCATGCGAGAATGGTGCCGGAGCCGGGGCGAGTCTCGAGGCGAAAATGCAGGGCCTCGTCGAGGAGGAAAGTCTTTTCGTCTCGTTCGTTGGCAAGGGCGTCGATCTCGGCGTCCTCTCCTTCTTCATCGGCCAGAAGCTCGGCCTCACCCTCCTCGTAGACTCTCTGGACAACTAGCTGGTATTGGAAATCCTGACCGGTGCGGCGAATGCGGGCGGTGGCGTCTTTGAAGATGAGCTCCGAGTAGCCCTTTGGGGAGAGCGGCCTGACGAGATATAGTTGTCCCTGGGGCAACTCGATCATGGACTCCTGGCTACTATTGCCGAAGATCAGCTTGCCAACATTCTTGAGGACAAACATCTTGGCGGGCGCAACGGGAGTGGTCAGCCGTTGTCAGGTACAAATGTGGGAAAGGGACGAGAAGAGCGAGCTCTGGACAGACGGCAGCGACGTCCCTGAAGAAGTCCCAGTTGCCGGCTCCTCAGACGGGTGGTTAAGGTAGGTAGTCTTATCGCCGCGATTCAATGTCGCAATCGGGCAGGGTGAATATATCGCAAGGGCGAATGCCAGGTAAGCACAGAGGGTTTGTCCTACTATGCGCGTCCTTGGGTTTTCGGGTGAAATGGCGACTACACTGTATTCGAACCGAGGTATGGTCCGGATCCAGGTTCTCTGTTGCAGTGTTTTAATTTTTATATCCTTGAAAAATTGTCGAGAATAAAATCTTGCTGCGTTTCCTAGGTGTTCAAATGACGGCGGGCTCACACTAGGAGCTGCGTCATAAGCCGAGAAACGCAAGCAGGCAGACAAGGCACAAAGCTTTCCAAGGCAATCAAGATGCCTAATGAGGGTAGGTAGATTGGTTTGACTTGACTTGATTTGATTTAGGCTAGCATACCACCCGCTGCTTGATGTTGCTGCCGCTGCCGCTGCTTCTGCTGCTGCTGCTGGTTGTTTGCTATGGTCTGATGGGCAAAAAGAGAGTGGGATGAAATGGATTGGCGGGGTAGGGTAAATGTGGCTAAGGCTCATTTATCTGGTCCTTGACGCCACTTCAGTTCTTCCCAGGCCTCCCTCTCATATAAATCGTGGCGCGCTAAATATGCAGCCTATCTTCTGTGGATACCTTCAATGTTGGGTTTACACACAATGGCAGGGCAGGTAGATGGGTAGGCAGGCTGGCTGGCAGCGACGGGTGCTATAACAAAAGTGAGGTCATCTCTATTGTTCCTTTCATATACCGAAAAAGAAAAAAAAACAAAGAGTTAGAAAGCGATACAATCCCACCAGAAAACCCTCTTGTTTGATGGGCCTCTTTGTGAGTTGTGTTTTGGTCCCACTCTTGGGCCATATTGTAGGACTAATAAGACTGACGATGATACTGCCCCATGTGCCTGGCTTGCCTGGCTAGATAGTTTAGCATTGGAAGGAGGGCGTATTGTGCATGGTTTTTGCATCACATATGTGAATGGTGTTGAAGTAGCTTGCTGTCAACTCGTGTATGCATCGTGTGTGCTATGTGGAAAGGCAGAGAGAGAGACTGTGTGTGTATTGTTCCAGAAAGCCAAACATTTTTGGAAGATAACCATTAGCTGCTGTGTTGGCCCCTCAAGTAATACATGAGACAGCCACATTGCAATCAATGTCCAAAGAGGCCGGAGAAATTTCCCCGAAGAATCGAATATGCAAGAAAATGCGACAAGGCTATATCTCTTCACGTTTTTGTGCACATGCTCTTCTTACCTGCCAGGTAATCCTGTCGTTCCCATGACGTGTAGGTTAGAATGCTGGACCTTTAGAGAATCGACATGATCCAGCCAATGCCAGGAAGCATCCTTGGCAGCGTAAATGCAGGGGCGGTGAAAGATTGAAACTCTTGGGGAAGGAAGCTATAAGATACAAGCAAGAGAAGGGATAAGAAAGATGTGAATAGATTCCACACGACTAGCTAGCTAGGGCCAGTAAAACCCCATGTCTGCGACTATGAAGCAGCAGAAACCCAGGGGAGGACAAAAGGGAACAGAAAGAACAAGAATCAATCACTCGGTTGTGTTGTTGTCACAGTTGGGCAAAAATAGAAACTTGATGACTTGGCTTGTACTTGTGTAATCTGTGATTTCACCAAATCACATTGGGGGTTTGGGATCATATTGGAATCCCACGAGCTTCAGATGATTGGACTTTCCAAGAGCCCTGTACCTGCGATACTTAGTCTTGACGGCAGGACGGCTTTTTGGGCTCTCTCACTGAAGTTGCATTGATGCATGCCATCACCTTAGCGTAGGCGGGGGCAGTGCGGGTTTGGGTGAGGCTAATTAGCACCATGTCCATCCGGGGAGTGTGGCAGATTCCTCTTAAAAAGCACCAAAGAAAAAAAAAAATCCTTGCCATCCTTGACACAAATTACGTCAATACGTCAGCAACCGGAGAAGAGCTCCTTGAGCTTGGTCCTCCCAGCTTTGTACTAAACAGGCCCAGCCAAAAGAGGAAAAAAAGAAAAAAGAAAAAGAAAAGTCATCCCCCCCACTACATAAACACTACGTTTATTTCCCAATAGTGTTTTTGCTATAGGAGCACATTTCAAAAGGATAAAAGTCAGTGTGTAAGTGATCAAGTCTTCCAACAAATATATGATTATAATATTGACTTGTAAACGATTCCTGGTAAAGTGCCAGAGAGCTATATCATCAGTTCCGACCTCTGGCTGCTGGTACAGAACATTTGGGTCTAACGTAAGTGTTACATAGCCAGTGGGCTGACCGGGGGGTATCACTACATGTACCACCATCATCTACGTGCTGTTCTGGCAGGGATTTGACCCAAATAGCAACAGCAAGAGCTGGAAGTGACGGGATGAATCCATGCAAATGCAGAGGGAGAGAAAGAGAAAGATTCCTGGCCGCCGGGGATGGATGCTAGGAGGATGAGACTGGCAAGGCAATGAATGGGTAAATTAGAAAAGTTGTGTCTTGTACTGATTTGTTTCCTCCTCAGACTGTCAGCCCTTTTTACCAAACCTTTAATCCCATCCGCCGTCTTTTCCATTCACACAATCTTTCTTTCCATTCTTCTCCTTTCTCACATTTGTGCACATACGCGTACGTACATAGACGCATACAGACTGCCCTACACATGCACTTGTGTAGTATATATTTATTACATTATTTTTCTTTGAAGCTTATGTCCTCGATCATGTTTCACTGAGTGATCGGTATTCCAATCAAAGCTCAAACGAAGCCCACATGCTTGTTCTAGGACCCTCCCACAGAACCAACTAGACGGCTGTGTGCCCCGCCATCGACGCCAATTGACGTACCTACTTGCTCGCTACCTGACCTACTCGTACCCAGGTACACCAGACCTACCACGACAACGACTTGATCTAACCCACGCCTCGACGAGCTTCTCTTTCAAAAACTCTACATCCATCCACTTCCTCCCTCGCTTTTCCCTCTCCCTGCCGCGTATTTTGCCTTGTCCCCTTTGCCTTCCGAGATCGACCATCGAGACAGCTGCGCCGCCAGTACTCTCTGCACACACTTGTGGACTACAGCATCTAATCAACACCAGTCCCGCTCGTTGCGCTCTCTCGATTTTCTGGCTCCTACACTTCTTGTCCGACGTCCACAACACGAAGAAGGGCCATGGCTCAAGATGACGGAACTCCTGGCAGACTGCTACTCATCTCGAATCGCCTGCCAATCACCATCAAACGCCAGGATGAGGGCCAATACAGCTTCTCCATGTCCTCTGGCGGCCTAGTCACCGGTCTCAGCGGCCTCAGTAAGACAACAACCTTTCAGTGGTACGGTTGGCCCGGCTTGGAGGTTCCTGAGCCCGAGATCGAAAAGGTCAAGCAACAACTCAAGGAACAGTACGGCGCTGTTCCTGTCTTTGTCGATGACGACCTTGCAGACAGGCACTATAATGGCTTTGCCAACTCGATCCTCTGGCCGCTCTTCCACTATCACCCGGGCGAGATCACCTTTGACGAGAGTGCATGGGACGCCTACAAGGAAGTAAACAGGCTGTTTGCAAAGACCGTGGTCAAGGATGTACAGGATGGCGACATTATCTGGGTACATGACTATCACTTGATGCTATTGCCCGAGCTCTTGCGCCAGGAGCTCGATGGGAAGCGCAAGAACATCAAGATTGGCTTCTTCCTGCACACCCCATTTCCCAGCAGCGAGATCTATCGCATCTTGCCTGTGCGTGAGGCCCTTCTTCAGGGCCTTTTGCAATGCGATCTCATCGGCTTCCACACATACGACTATGCCCGTCACTTCCTGAGCTCCTGCTCGCGCATCCTCGAGACCTCCACCACCCCCAACGGTGTCGCCTACAAGGGTAAATTCATCACCGTCGGCGCTTTCCCCATCGGCATCGATCCCGACAAGTTTGTCGAGGGCCTCAAGAAGCCAAAGGTGCAGGAGCGCATTGCTGCCCTCTCACGAAAGTTTGACGGCGTCAAGCTTATCGTTGGTGTAGACCGCCTCGACTACATCAAGGGAGTGCCCCAAAAACTGCATGCTCTCGAGGTCTTCCTGACCGAACATCCAGAATGGATCGGCAAGATAGTGCTTGTTCAGGTTGCGGTGCCGTCTCGCCAAGACGTGGAGGAGTACCAAAACCTCCGTGCCGTTGTCAATGAGCTCGTGGGCCGGATCAACGGAAAGTTTGGCACGATTGAGTTTATGCCTATTCACTTTCTGCACCAGAGCGTCAATTTTGACGAGCTCTGTGCCCTTTACGCCGTCTCCGATGTCTGCCTAGTTTCATCTACCCGTGATGGCATGAATCTGGTCTCTTACGAATATATCGCCACACAACATGATCGCCACGGTGTCATGATTTTGTCCGAGTTCACCGGCGCCGCGCAGTCGCTCAACGGCTCCCTGATCGTCAACCCCTGGAATACCGAGGAGCTTGCCAATGCTATTCATGATGCTGTGACCATGTCTCCTGAGATGCGGGAGGCCAACTTTCGCAAGCTTGAGCGCTATGTCTTCAAATACACAAGCGCATGGTGGGGTCAGAGCTTTGTGTCCGAATTGACCAAGGTGAATTACGAGGCAGGTGAGAAGCAGTCCCTGACTGGTACGGGTGAAGTCAGCCAAAAGCTCACAATGGGTGCAAATGGTGCAGTGGCAGGGGTAACTGAAGGCGAGGCTGGTTCGACGTAGGACTCTGCTTACGCCGAGGTAGGAAAGGCGATAACTGGGACAAGAGCTGGAATACGGCACATAGAAGACCGTGATATTTGGCTGCCCAGGAATCCCGGCGTGATTGGTAAGCGCATTTCCTATGGTAGAAACGAACCAATTGTAGCAAAACCAAGTGTAAAAGCCATAATAGTTTTACGCCAAGGACCAAGGTGCATGCTGTAAGCAATTATATCACCGTGCAAATAAAAGGCTTGCATTAAAAGGCGATTTTGTATAATTTAAAAGTTTTATTATTTTAAAATAAATTAATATTATTAAATATTATTAAAATTATAATAAATAAATGGTAAAAGCATATATTTTTATATAATAATTAAGGTTGTGAAATAGGTAATTAGCAGTTAAACTGGGCTTAAGTTAATTCGATTGCTAATTAAAATTAGCCCAGTTAGTTTACTTTATAATTAGAATTAATTTAAGTTTTAAAATTAATTAATTATAATTAATTAAGCAGTTAATTTCAATTAAAATAACTTAAGTTAAATTAGAATAATTAAATTAATTAATTAGCTATATAAAATAACTTATTTATAAATTAAAAGTGAAATAATAAAAATAAAATAATAATAATTAAAGTAATTTATATTTTAATAATTATTCTTTTAAATTAAAATAAAACTTTCTTTAATTAGGGTTAAAAACGCAATCTGCAGTTAGTTAATGCAGTTTAAGTTAACTTAAGTTAATGCAGTTGCAATTTAAACTTTTGCTAACTGCATATAGTTACTTGTTAATTTAAGTCCGGATTTTACTAACTTAAGTTAACTGCGTAATTAATTATAATTATTGTAATATAAAAATTAAATAATTAATTAAAAATCGAATTTTTATTATTTTAATAACCTTTTAACCTGTATAAATATAATAATAAACCTTTAATTTAAAGGCTTTAAAAGAATTAATAAAATTATTTTATTTAATTAAATAATTATAATTTTATTATCGTAGTTAGCAGTTAATTAAATTAACTGCAAAATGCAGTTTGCAGTTAATTTACAGTTAATTTAACTTTTTGCAATTACAATCTAAATTTTAACTAACTGCAGTTAATTAAATTGCAGTCCGAAAATCGTGCAATTAAGTTAATTGCACTGTAATTAATTAGCAATTAACTGCATTTTAACCCTGTCTTTAATACGTTTTTATTCGATTTTTAATTAATTAAATTAAACTAACTGGCAGTTAATTAATAAATAACTTAAGTTAATAAAATAAAAATTATAATTAATTAAAATTAGTTTTTAAATTAATTAAAATTAGCATAGTTATTTAACCTGCTAATTATAATTAACTTAAGTTAGCAAAATGCTAATTTTAACTATTTAGTTAATTAATAACTAGAATTAAAATTAGAAACTTAAATTAATTTTCACAACCCTAATTATATGCTGAGCAGGGTTGGAAATGCTGTTGGGCGTAGCCCAACACAATGACTAAGCAGATGACTAAGCGCGCAACGCTTAGCGTTGCTATATAATAGATTGGCCTACGGCCAATCCGTAGATAGGAAATGCATGCTTCTACCACACTCTCTCTATGACCCAATGGTGCCTAACAAATGCAGTTTGTAATTAATTGGTGAAGTTTAAGTTAACTTAACTTTTAATCGATTATTTAATATTTTTAAAAGCTTATTATTGCTTTAAATCTTTTAAAAACGGTTTTATAAAACGTTTATAAGATAAATAATATTAATAATTTATTTAATTTAATACTAATAGTTTAATTATTGCAGTTAACAGTTAATTAACTTAATTGCAATATTAAGTTAGCAGTTATTTTGCAGTTAACTTAAGTTATTATAATTGCAATCTGGATTTTAACTAATTATAATCAGTTAAATTGCAGTTTAAAAATCGTGTAATTAAGTTAACTGCAATGCAATGCACTGCGTAGTCACTTTTTTGCAACTTAAATGCTGAGTTATCGTGCACGTTAGGCTACGCTTAATATATTAATTTGTTAAAATTAATAAAAAATAGCGTATTATCAAGGTTAGCATTAAATATAAGCTTGAGTTAACTTAATTAAATTAACTTAAATTTAATTGAGTTAAGTTATTAATTAAACTTAATTAAATTATTAAAAATGCTAAGTTAGCTAACTTAAACTTAATTGATTTAATTAGTAAATAAACTCAAATTAAATTAATTGAGTTAAGTTAATAATTTAATTAATTTAATAACTTAAAGAATAATTAATTTTTATTAAATAATATTAAAATAAATAAGTTTTATACCGTAAAAATGAAAAGAGAAAATTAATAAATAAAAGGCTATATTTATTATTATTATATTATTATCAGGGTTGCAATTAAATTAACTAATAATTAACTCAATTAAATTAAGAATAACTCAATTTGAAAATCCGGCTAAGTAAAACTCAATGATTTAGTTAAAGGCTTGAATAAAACTCATTGATTTAATTAGGAGCAAGGTTGTAAAATAGTTAATTAGCAGTTAAACTAGGCCCAATTCCAGTTAATTTAAGTTAATTCGGGTGCTAATTAGAATTAGCCTAGTTAGCTTACCCGGTAATTAAAATTAACTTAAGTTTTTTAAATTACTAATTATAACTAATTAAACATTAATTATAACTAGAATAATTTAAGTTAAACTGGAATAACTGGGCCAATTAAATGGGTATACGAAATAATTTATTTATTAATTTAAAAATAAATAATAAAATTAAAATTAAAGTAATAATATAATTTTATTCTTTTATATTCGCTTTATTAACTATAAACAAAATCTTTTAAGCTACGTTTTTATTCGATTTTTAATTAATAAAACTAAATTAATTGCCAGTTAACTAGGACTAATTAGCTAATTAATAAAATACAAATTATAATTAACTTAAATTAGTTTTTAAATTAATTAGAACTGGCCTAATTATTTGAGCTGCTAATTGGAACTAATTTAAGTTAGCTAAATGCTAACTTTAACTGCCTAATTAATTAATAACTAAAATTAGAATTAAAAACTTAAATTAATTATTTAAACCCTGATTACTATTTATTAAGGTCAGGGTTAAAAATGCAATTTACAATTAATTAGTGAAGTTTAAGTTAACTTAACTTTTTGTAATTGCAATCCGGACTTTTATTAATTGCATATAGTTATTTGTTAATTTAGATTTAAATTTAAATAACTTAAATTAATTGCGCAATTGCTTGTAGTTATTATAATATAATATTAAAATAATTAATAATAAATCGATTTTTTAACATTTTTAAAAGCTTTTTATTACTTTAAATTTTTTAAAAACGGCTTTATAAAACGTTTATAAAATAAATAATATTAATAATTTATTTAATTAAATAATAATGATTTAGTCATTATAATTATATTAGGCATTATTAGGTTATAAAAAAAGTGTGGTAAAAGTATGCATTTCTTATTTACGGATTAGCCGTAAGCCAATTTATTATATAGCAACGCTAAGCGTTACGCGCTTAGTTATTTATTTAATTATTATATTAAGCTACGTTTAATATTTTCCCTTTTTTTAATTTATTTTTTTAATTTATTCTAATATATTAATATATTAATATAATTTTTATTATTTAATCCCTAATATTTTATTATTATTAATCCGTTATTTTATAATGCTATTTCCGTTTCCGTCGGTATATTATATTTTTTAAAATTAGTATATTTTATAAAAGCGTTTAAATAATCGTTAAATAAAAATATCCGTAAATTTTTGCTTTATTAAACCTTTACGGTTTTTAAATTTAAATATTTCGAATTTAGGTTTAAATTTAGGCTTTAATAAAGTTATTAAAATTAATTTATCCAAATTAAATAATATATTGCTAAATATTTCGATAATCGGTATATTTTTAGCGATTAATAATTATATATTTAGCGAATTTAGCTTTAAAATTTATAAGCTATTATTTAATAGCCGGTATAATTAGGGCTAAGGGTAAAAAGCGCGGTTTTTTAAAAAAAATCGTTATTTTTAATAAATTATAATATATTAACCCGTTTAAATATTAAAATACGTTTAGCTATAATTATTTCGACGGCTTTATTAATTATTTTTTAAATATAATTATTAGCGGCTACGGCTAATTTTTTTAAATAATCGTTATTACGTAAATATTCGTTAATTTTATCCCGAATTAAAATATTAATCGTATTTCGCACGTTTTTATTATTAATAATTATTATTTTAATTTAATTAGTAATTATATTTTTAGCGATTTTATTATTTTATAATTTATTAATTTTAGCGTTTATAATTTTTTAATATTTAATTAAAAAAATAAAACCGCCGGCTAATTCGGGTATAAAATAATTTAAAACGCTTTTAATATAAATTTTTATTATTTTTTTTATATTATAAACCTTTTTGCCGGTAAAAAGGTTAATATAATATAAGCGTTTAGGGCTAAAAGGCCTATTTAATACCGAAAAATCGATATATAAAATTATATCGGTTAATAATTTATTTAGCCGGGAAAATTTTTCGTTATCGGGCAGATTATCCGGTTTTAATTAATTAATAATATAAATTATAATTGCTAAATCGTTAACAAATTAACCGTTTTAATTATAAAAGTCCGCGGCCGGAATATTAGCTATTAAATTTATTTTATTTATATTATTTACGTTATTATCCGACGCATTAATATTATTATTTAAGCTAATAAAGCTATTAGGTTTAATATACGTATTTAAATTAAGCGGAAAATAATAACGGTTATAATTATATATTTTTTTCGGTATTTATTTTAGGCTTAGCGTTAAAAATATAAGCTTTTTAATAGCTTATTTAAAATTTAAAAATAATAGCTTTATTAAAATTAACCGTAATTTAAATTAATTTATTATTATTGGGCGTAGCCCAACACAATAACTAAGCAGATGACTAAGCGCGTAACGCTTAGCGTTGCTATATAATAGATTGGCCTACGGCCAATCCGTAAATAGGAAATGCATGCTTCTACT